CTGTACACAGGAACATGCACCATCACAATTACATTCACATGTGCATTTGGCAGAACAAATGTCGCAACACAAGTGTTTCACCATATCAGATGGTTTACAGTCAAAATAACTCATTAATTTTTTTCTCCTACATTCATTTCCATTTACATACTCATTCATAGCTTTGGAAACTCTAGTAACACTTTGGCTGTACTTAACTAATATAGCATAGCTTTGTACAGATGTATCTCGGCCTGCACGGCCAGTTTCCTGTAAATAATCGTCCAGATCATTTGGTGGCCCAAGATGAATAATGTTTTCAAGTCCTTTTACGTCCATACCCATCCCAAATGCAATGGTGGCGAACAACACGCGTATCGTTCCATCGTGATCAGCAAATGATGATATTATTGTCTCCTTTACCTGTGAATCTGTTCCTTGTTGAAACATAGCCACAAATCGGCTTCTATCATCTTTTGTTTCAACTGTGAAGTCATATGCATCATCGCCTAAAGCAGTTATGAAAGTTTCATAAAGTTCTCTACAATGTCTCTTTCTTTTGCAAAATATAATAGTTCGAACAGCATATTTTTTTTTCAGTCTCACTTCTTCAATAATGGGAGAAAATATTTTCAGCAAAGCATCACTGTTACGGAAGCCTTGTTTGGTAGCAACAACTGAATACCGAACATTTGGCCTGTTGACCCCCAGATCCACAATTACAGGGGATGTCATTTGCAGGTCACGAATGATAGTTTCTCTTGTATCTTTGTTTGCTGTCGCTGTAAGAGCGATCATGGGTACAGATGTCTGCAATAAGGACCTGATTTCTCCAATTCTAGAATAAAGCTCTCGAAATGGCTGACTCTTTCCTCCAACAGCATGACCCCTACAATATATAATATATAAAGTTTTAATAACTGTAGGAAATTCCTGGAACTGTTATTAAATAAAAGCAAAAGCTATACAATACAGTAGTTTACTGACCATGGAAACAAAATGCAATTATAGTAGTCCAGCCTTGAAATTTCACCATGATGTGATTGTATTGTTTGAAGCATGTGGTATGGAATTCTAATCATGGTCTATGCAAGAAGACTTGTGTCTACCACTTAATTAAGTAATTGAGGCACACAATGAACCTCAAAAATTTAAATAATCAAGAGGTTACATAATCAAGGTAATACCAGACTGTGTGAGGAGGTAAATTTTGTATTTGATTTAAAATTTATATATTTTTTTAGTAAGTTATGAATATTGGAATCATTACAAAATGAATAAAAAAGTAATTCAACACAATACAAAAATGGTGTCTATATTCAAATAATAAATATTCTTACCATTTTTCAACACAGTGACTCTCATCAACAAACACAGCTTTTACACCCTGTTGGTATGGTTCAGATAACCATAGCTCTCTATGAGTTGTCAAAAGAGCCTCAGGACTTGAAAATACTATGTTGAAGTTTCCTCTTTTCAAATCATATTCATTATTAATTTTACCAATATATGTTGCCTTCAGGTGCTTCTTGTTTAAATATGTTGTCTACAGAAAAATAAAATAGATTGAATGTATTTATATTGTTTTGTAAGCAATCATATCTGCAAAAATGGCTAGGTCTAGGCCTCCTTTTTAGGCTAGTGAGAGAGTAGCCTACTACTAGCCTAGGCCTACAAATATGATAAGGTATTACTATAATTAATAACAGTAAATGTGGTACATCCTAGCTAGTAGGCCTAGTCCTAGGCGACTAAGAGTAAGGCATATGTTTAATGATATAAAATTAAAAATAGGCATATCATTATCAAGGCCTACCTGTTCTTGCATGAGCGATAACAACGGCGTAATTACAAGCACAATATTTGATGATGGTGAGATTTTTCCAGATGATAGATGTTGCAATACAAACGGGAAAGCTGTGTAGCATAACGATTTACCACTTCCAGTCGGAGAACATAAAATAACATCGTTCCCTCTAATTGCCTCTTCTAAAACTTTACTTTGGTGACACTTCACACTGTTATATCCAAACGATTTTATTACAGTAGTAAT